TGTAGAGATGAGGTCTCGCCAAGTTGCCCAGGTGGGTCTCGAACCCGCGGGCTCAGGCAATTCACTCACCTTAGCCTTCCAAGGCGCGGGGTTACAGGCTGAGCCACCGAGCCCGGCAGTTTTAAAATTTTTATAGTAAACATTATAATACATTTCTTTATGACCTAAGAGCTAAAAATTATACCTTATATTTTCTATGAAGAAGTTATATTTTTTAATTTTGATATTTAGGCCCTTAATTCATCTGAAATAAATTTTTGCATAGTTGTATGAGGCAGGGATCTCATTTCATATTTAAAAAAATATGGATAATCGTTGTTTTTCTGTCTTACTTATTGATCAATCCCTGATTTTCTCACTGACCTTACATAATATATTCATCATATCAAAGATCCATCCATTCATAGTCATTTTAATCTATTGTTGTTCTAAAATGTCTTAATTACTATGGTTTTATAATCAAACCTGATGTATAGTAGGAAGAATCATTTCCCCTCTGTGCTTCTTCAGAAGATTCTTGGCTATGCATGACCCTTTATTTGTCAAACAAATTCAGAAAAATCTTTATAAAGTTCCATAAAAAATTGTTCAGAAGTTGTTTGAAATTTTATTGGCCTTAAAGATCAATTTTTGGAGAAGTGATATTTTCATAATATGTCTTCTAGTTCACAAACATGGTTTATATCTCTCTTTATTTGAATACTCTTTAATACCTCTTCATAGAGTTTTATAATTTATTCTGTAGAGATATTGAGCATCTTTTTTGGATTTATTCTTATTCACTTGATATTTATTTGAATACAGTTATAGCACCATCCATTTAATTATATTTTTTAGTTTGTGCTGCTGGAGAATAGAAATGTTTTCTTTTGTACGTTAAGCTTATGTCCATCCATCTCACTAAATACTCTTGTTATTTCTAATGATTTTTCTGGAGTTTATATCTGAATGATAATATCTCTAAACAATGACAGTTTTATGTCACCCTTTATAATTCTTGTGACTTTATTTTTTGTTCATTTGTACCAGTAATACTGATTAGGAGTTGTGATAAGTGTGCTTTATTGCTTTGTTCTTTATTTTAAAGCTAATGGTTTAGAATAATGTATTTTTATAGGTACTTTTTATCAGGTCAAGGACATTCCTTTCAATTCCTAGTTTACGAAGAGCTTATTATCATAAATGAGTTTTCCATTTTGTCAAATTTTGCATTTAATGAGATGATTACATAGTTTTCTCTTTTAGTCTGTTATTGTGGAAAATTAAATTAATGAACTTTATAGTATAAACTATTCTTGCATACGTGGAATAAGCTCAATTTGATAATGGTCTATTAAAAGTACACCATGGGTTTTAATGTACTATTGAATTTACCTTTATTTCTTTTTGTATTTTAGGAATTTTGCTTCTATATTTATGAGCGAAGTAGGTTTGTAATGGGTTGTCTAGTTTTTGCGTGAGCATTATGTTGTGCTTATAATCTGAACTAAGAAGTAATCTTCCTTTTTTGTTGTTGCGAGAGAGCAGGTCCAGAAATTTGTTTGGTAGAACTTGCCTTTTAAAACAATCAGGGCCGCCGGGCTCCGTGGCTCAGCCGGTAATCCCACGCCTTGGGAGGCTGAGGTGAGTGAATTGCCTGAGCCCGCGGGTTCGAGACCCGCCTGGGCAACTTGGCGGAACCTCATCTCTACAATAAGTCAAAAATTAGCTGGGTGTGGTTGCGCGCACCGGTACTTCTGGCTACTTGGAAGGCTGAGGCGGAAGGATAGCCGGAGTCCAGCAGGTCGAGGCTGCGGTGGCTGGGAGCGGCCACTGCACTCTAGTCTGGGCGACTGAGTGAGACTCCAACTCAAAACAAACAAACAAAAAAACTTATTTTTTAAAAAATGGGAGGAAAACTGAATCGCTCAATCCTACCACCCTGCTGCACCCTGCCTCTGCACGACCATGCCAGCCTGCATGCACAAGCACTTGTACTGTTAGAGTTGCTGTCACAACTGACAGTTTTCAATCCTTTATGTCATACATATTTCCATCATCTTCCAAGACTCCATGGTCATCAATTCTGATATGCCATCAAGTGAACCTACTTGCCCAACCCCTATTGAGGCATTCAGAATTTACTTGTTGCTTTCATGAAAAATGGAACACCTCTGGCTAATGCTCTTTGCCTTTCTTGGATTACTTCCTCTGGCTAAACTTGCCAGAAGTGAGATTACTGGGTCAAAGGGTATTGAACATTTTATGCCTTTTAAAAACAATGATGCCACCAGGCTCAGTGGCTCAGCCTGTAATCCCCCGCCTTTGGGATGCTGAGGTGAGTGGATTGCCTG